TAGAATGGTCGAAAAAACTATTGTCGACTCTGAAGCCACCCACAACTTTACAACAGAGACCCGAAATGAGATTAAGTCACCCAAGACCCCAAGAATCCAATGAAAGAAATTAAGGCATTTAAGTAAGAACAAAGGTCTTAAAGCAAGCAATTTCAACCTCCTAATAAATAATTTTAGAAATATAAGGCATTTGGAGAAGGATGGGACAGCAAAAGTAAGCCTAAAGAACGAAAAATGTCATTTTCTTCCAATTTTGAAGAACTGTATGGATTTTTAATTTTTTATTAGAAAAATTTTCAAGGTATTTAAGAGCCGAAAAAGGAGTAGAAAAGAGTAAAGAATTAAAAAATAATAATAATAAAATATTTAGAAAATGACACATTACCCAAACACGCCTAAACTTCGAGATATTTACGAAATTGTCATAGATCAGAAAATCATTTTCGCGACCATGAGCAAGGATAAAAATATCTCTTTGAATCTCTATTTTTCAATGTTGGATCTTCGTCAAATTTGAGTATGTTCTATAGTAGACAAACATCATCACATCCTACGGCCAGAATATAAATTGGAGGTCGGTTTCTCGTTGATCAGAGATGATATTTTCAACGAATAATCTAAAAAATTCAATCTCCAGATCACGACGATTATGAAGGTTTCAACGTCAGTTTAAGCTTCCCCTATAAATTTTGAAGTTGGGGCATTCATATGGAACAAGAATCGAGCAAGGTCAAGCTCTCAATCATGAGTTATAGCCGTTTAGTTTTTGGGTTTTCTACTCTATAATTTCTTCCAAATTTAAGAGAAATTATCCACCATTTCCCTTCAAACTTGTTCCTATACCTTCTAAAAAAGATTACACATAAGTTCTACGAAGGACCGAGCTGAAATAGCATAAAACCCATTCCTCCAATTGTGTCCATTATTGAAGAACTTCAAAGGAAACTTGAAATTTTAATATGAGCCTAAAAGCGAATTTGTCGAGCAAGGCCCATCTCAATTAGCTTTCACACCTTCAAGAAGTATTTTAATAGAAGGCCACGAAGAGATTTAATCCCAAGAACGTGTCCAACCGAAGAAAATCAGTTTTGGGTATAATTTGGGGGTAAGTATGGAATTCCTACCTTTGGTCCATTTTTCTTCAAATTAAGCATTCCTTTATCCTACAGAGGATTAAATTGAGTAAATTTGGTGAAGAAATTGAGAGCCAAAACGTCCTAGAACAAGCTGCCCAAGAAAAGAAAATTTTACATTTTTGGGCAAGTTGCAGATCGAGAGGAATTTCTCAAAATTAAAGTCCCACACTTAAGGACGTTCCACCAAAATAATTTCTTTAGCTTGAGGGAAGAGAATAACTTAGACTACAATTCATGATAAGGTATGAAATCAATCCCTAACTCTTTCTTGTCACTCTATCTTTAAGTTTCACGAAGAAACGATGAACCTCCTTAAGTGTCTAACGTACTCGTGCGTGGGTGATGCTCTAAGTCGTGTGAAGGCACTTGAAGTTCCTGTTTTGTCCCGTTTTGACTATTGTTTGTCATTTTTTCATCCCAATTTCGACATTGACCCTATTATGACTAGAATTAGGATCTACTAGATAAATTTCAGAAATTTTGAAGCTCATAATATGCAGAAAAGCTAGCTCAAGAAGGTACATGATCATTTTCAAGTAATACAAGTAGACTAAACATCTTAGGATCGTGAGTGGTAGTCAGAGGGTCTAGACCCTAGTGCTCTCAAACTAAGAAATACTCGAGGAGTCAGACAGCGTACCCTAGAGTCAAAAGTCTACGTTAAGCCACCTAGCCACTCTAGGAACCCAGTAGACCTCATCCGCACCTAAGGAGGATCAAGTTGATGTTTAGAACATGAGATTCATGCATTAGGTGATAAATAGGAATATCTCCCTACTAAACATAGGTGAGTGAACCATGTTAAGATTAGGGCGCTACAGCTAGAGTAGCTTACATGTTGACCTAGGTCAGTACGTTTCTAGTAGACCCTTCATCATAGGATCTTAAGTGGTGATAAGAGGTCTAGACCTAAGTGCACCTAGAGATTGATTTAGTTCGGAGGGGTTTCCCTCGCGTGTTCTAAAAATGCGAAATGAGATTTAAACCGTCTAGATGTCCCTAAGAACATTGTAGACTACCACAATACCCAAGAATGACTAAGGTAGCTCTCCAAGCTATTAGTAGTGAATGGTATCATCAACGTCTCTGCTACCCTTTTCACTCTGTTACCAGTACTATCAAGCTAGGCCTAGGCCGGTTAGGGATGTGAGTCGAGACAACTAGGTGGCCCAACCTTGAGAAAATGGCCAGGGGACTTCTAAACAGAGCCATTGTATGCAAGCTCGTCCCTTATAGAGGGTGTGAGACCACATAGGTCAACTCGATAGTTGGCAGGCACATAGGGGACCGTATCCCCCAATTTTATGGTCCTATGGGAGTGATCACCAGCTAACCTTCCACGGATGATGTTTAGATTAGCTCACACCATACTACTTCATCAGAAATTTTTGAGATAACACCTCAAGCTAGGTCATCAATCATTCATTGCGTAAGCAAAGCAAGCTACCTAAATTAACAAAAGAGTAACGTTGGTTCATCCTGAACTAAGATTCATTGTCAAGTCGGAAAAAATGGGTAAGCCACCTCTGAACTTAGAGTGGAGTTTGTGAGTAGCTAGAGAATCACTCGAAAGTTTGAGACATTTTTAGAAACTTAGATAACTGTAGAACTAGGCTCGAACTTCCTAGAGCTCAAATAAAAGCCCATGGATACCTAGGTTAAGAATACAATGAGAGTCTACAAGTAGATTTCTTACTGAGTATTTTTTTTATTTACCCCATTTCCGTTTCATTTTCAGGTGTTCAAAAGTTGTCGGTCAACGTGGAGAGCATTCGAGAGCTGCGCGGTCATAGATGGATCATTCCAGAGTATCGATCTATTTTTATATTTTGAGTATTTTGTATTTCGATTTGTAATTGTATCCCGACATCGTTTTCCCATTTGCAATAATTCGAACACCACCATCTAGTAGTTGAATTTCATTTTGTATTTAATTATAGTGTTGTTTATTTTAATTCGATTTAATTTTATTGTATTTTTAACTTTAATTTTATTATAATTTACTTTTCTTCTTTGTCTTTATAGTCACCGTTTATGATCCAAAGCCTAAAAAATCTAGAATGCATGATATGTATGTTATAAAAAATTATCAAAAGATGAGATTCTAGGATGCATGCTAATTTTTATACTTGTGATAGAGCTAAGAAGAGATTATGCATGATTAGAAGTCGAGTTAGACAATTCAAACGAATAAGTTGGGTATGATGTACGAAATTATCAAAATACCTCTAGGACGAGATTTTAAGATGAAAGCTATTTTAATATTTTCTAGTATGTTAGAAAGGGCATGAGTTATTGCGATATGTGTTTCGAGTCATTGATGAATGTCATTTCCCTGCTGAGTTTGCATGGGTTTTTATATTATAATTTTGGTGTCTAAGGGGATTGATAGGATTATTTCCCTGATAAGCTTGCACAAATGTTTAGATTATGAATACTATACTTTAGGTGACCGTTAGAATTAATCTCTAACAAAGTAGGCACAAGAGCACCCTAAAATCATGAACTAGATCAGAGGTCTAGGCTTGTGTACATCCATAGAATGGACTAGCTAGAGGAGTTAATCCTAAACATCTTGAAAATGAGAGACGAGATTTACACCGAACAGACGTCTCTAAAAACCTAGTAGACCTCTACGACATCAAGAATAACTAAGGTAGCTCTCCAAGTTAATAGCAATATGAACGGTGTCATTAGAGTCTCTACTACGCTTTCCACTCATGTACCAGTACTGTTGAAATAGGTAGTGTGTCAAGACGACTAGGTGCCTACACCTTTTGGTAATGGCGAGGGATCTCCTAAACAGGGCCATTATGCCGTAAACCCGTCTAGAGAAGGGTTGTAGGATCACGTAATTGAACATTGAGAATAATTTAAATATTAATATGAAAAAAGATGTGAATTGTTATCAAAGTTAACATAATTTTTAGCTTTAATTAGTAGTTGATAATTATTTTAAATTATTTATTATAACTAAATAAAAGTACATTATGGATTCACTAATTAATCTACACACTAATTAAGGGATGACATTTTGGATTCATTTATTACTATCATCTATAAAAGGAAACGTATTAAATAATATAAATTTAATATGATACGTACCAAATTTGCAAAATTAAATCTCCTCATCAAAATTATCTTTTAACTATTAATTAAAATTAAGAGTTAATAATACAATACTGGATAAAAATGAAAATTAATTGTTTTCCTTTGTATGGCTCACAGCATCACAATCGTACTCTGGTCAGTAGCGGGATAACAATTATGTGACATTTGTTCTAATCCAACAAATAAATCAGCGGTGTGAAATTCAGACTTTGCATATAATATTAGTGTATACTCCGGGGTCATGTTTGAGAGAAATATTCTTACCAACGTGAGTGATGAAATACGTTGAAAACAATTTGAAATAAATCAATGTTATAAGCTAAGAGCGAATAAATAACGACTACATCTTTGATAGCATATATAACTCGGGTAGGAAGAATTGACAAATAATCACAACCCCTGTAGTACATTTTGTGTGATTTTAGCCCTGGTGGATGTAGACGTGATTCTCGTGACCGGTTATACACCTCCTATTGGCTCAACAGGAATAATAAAAAGGTTTGGAATAGACACGAGGACATGGACAACATGTTTTGGACAAGCATGACTGGGACATCCGATATGGAACTATAGACAACACGCCTTGAACAAGCATGACTGTGACATCTAACACGTATTTTCTTTTTATTATTTCAACTTCCAATACGTATGAATTTGGTGACACATTATGAATGGTTGGACCATAACAATAATTATTTGTAACGCTATAAAGCAAATTGGACCTTTGAAGCATAAGTGAAATAGCAGCAAATTCCCCATGGCCTCATCTCAGAATGAATCCTCCCGGCAAGGTTCAAATGCTTCCCGAAAGGTGTTGATCACTGGGGTGAGCAAGGGATTAGGAAGAGCTTTAGCCCTGGAGCTGGCTACTCGCGGCCACACCATAATCGGTTGCTCACGCGATCAAACCAAACTTGATTCCCTTCAAGAACAGCTTTCTAAGTCGTCTCCAATTCATCATTTCCTCTTCCCACTCGATGTGGTATGTGGTATGTAAAAGCTTGAATCCGACCGTTAGGAATGACAGATCTCCACAGTGGTATGATATTGTCCACTTTGAGCATAAGCTTTCGTAGCTTTGCTTTGGATTTCTCTCTAAGGCCTCACACCAATAGAAATAGTATCCTTTGATTATAAACCTAAATGACTGGATTATAAACCCACGATCTAGTAGACCCACCTCAATAATTTTACAAAAACTGATTGAAAATTTATGGTCTTGTAGAGATCAAACAAGAACGTTGAAGAATTCGCGCAAATTATTGGGAAACAAAAACTTGTTCCTGATATCATCGGTATTGCCGTCCCTTCAATCCTTAATTTATTGTACGAAAATGGGTAATGACATGGTTTTTGGTTTCATTACAGTGAATAATGCAGGTTTGGCTCATGAACAAGTGAAGATATGGGAACTTGATGCACAAGATTTTGACAACGTTATTGATACCAACATCAAAGGAATTGCAAATGTTTTGCGCCATTTTCTTCCACTTATGATGGCCACCAAACAAGGAATTGTTGTGAATATTTCATCAAGTGCCGGAAGAGATACCCATGAAAATGTACGTGATTGGATATTTACATGAAAGTTTTAAGCTTTTTGTTGATTTTAGGTTTTGTTTCAAGTTGCAGTTTTCAGCATATTGTTCATCAAAATGGGCAATTGAAGGATTAAGCAAATGTGTTGCGAAAGGAGTAGCAGAGGGGATGGCAGTTGTGGCCTTGGATCCTGGATTCATATGCACAGACATGCTCCATTTCCTCGTCGGTGATGCAGCAACGCGATGCCAATCACCTGAAAAATGGTATGTAATATCACTATTAATTGGCTTGAATATTACACAACTTCGAGTTTTTTTAAAGTTCCAAGTCTTTTTTGCAAACTCCAAAAATAAAAATTGCTTTTGAATTCACTAATTACTTTGCCAACCTTTCATCACTCACCTTTAATATTTATTATAAAGATGGGAGCTACTTGATGGGAGCTACAACCCGATTTTCAAGACTTCCAAAATTCGGACCGCGACCAAAAAGATGAAAGTGAAAACAAACAAAAATAAATAAATAAATAAATAAAAAGTAGAATAAAAATATCATTCAATTAATACAGAAGAAAGAAAGAGCTAATCCTCAAACAAATTTTAAAAAGGAAATACAATTATAAAAGGAATATACAAAAAGATTCACAAAAACTGACATTCCTACGACCTCCTCTGTGACTATACAGCTCTCAATCGCTCTTCCACTTGCCGTCAGCAAACACTTGAAAAAGATACGAAAACTGGGATGAGTATAAAAATTATACTCAGTAAGCCACTTAGTTGTAAGCTCTCATCGCATCCTAAGCTTAACAAATTTTCTCGTACTTTTTTCTGGCTCTAGGACGTTTGGTGGTTTTGGTCTTAGTCCCTTGGGGCTTACTTTCCCTTGGGAGCTTGCTCCTTGGGGCTTCTTTGGTTCTCTGTGCTTTCATTTAAACTCTAAGAGTTCCTTATGCCGAGTCGAAATGACTGGTGTCTCTCTATGAAGCGCTACCTCTGCATGACTATCTGAGATTATATGGTATCTTGGCTAGGGGTGTGCTGAGTACCTCCTAGACCCATGATAGTCTCCCTCATTGGCAGGGGCGCGACCCCTCCCTTATCCCATGCAGTTAATGGACTGTACGACGCGGAGACACGTTTTCCATGCGAAACGACTAGGAGCAGGGAGAACACTCCTAAGATACTTTATTTGTTGTGGTGATCTGCTAGGCTTCTAGGGAAAGTTTAGGCCTACGCTCATCATATTAATGGGTCATGGAAAATAGCAGAGTGTGCATACAACAGCCATCTAGCATTATCATACATATTTCATGCAAACTAAACATACATGCTCAACGGGGAGATAACATCTATTAAGCATCTAGAGCGCAGAGTTCACAAATCCCCATCCTCCTTTCAACATGAATTAAACATATGCATATATATAGCGGAAGCTTAAAACATAATTGAAACACTCAGATAATTCTCATAATGCTTCACATAATACAATCACGCTCATAATAGTCACATTACCAAAATTCATTCATAGGAAACTATCACCTCAGGTAAATATTCTAGCATACATGCATTCTAAGCAAAATCTACAAGTATTTCTTCGCAAATATCACGTGTTAAGTTACTTTCTACACAAATAGCGTGTCCAAAAATACTAATTTTTTTTCAATTAGGTCCTATTTCATATAAAAATAGGATAGAATTGGAATGGGGAGAAAAATTAGACAAATAGAATTCGAACAGGACAAAAACAGCATCTCACGCGCCAGCCACGCGCCCAGACAAAGGCTAGTCGCGGCTTTCACGCGTGAGGCAGAAACTTAGTCGCGGTCTGATTCATGGGCGGTTTGGTTCATTGAATAGACGGTGGGTCAGCTGGTTTGCAGGTCGAATCGGGTCAGTTGGCGGGTCGCGGGTCGATTAGGTTTGCAGGGGACGCGTGTCACATTCTGGTTGGAATCATGTCGCTCCGCTCAACACTTGACGCATTGATCCACCCAACGAGCGACTGTGTCCCTCGCCTAGCCGGACCTGCCTCTCCTATCTCCCATCGACACATGGCTCGCCACCTGCCTCGATGCATTTCTCCACCCGCCGAATGACACGTGGCTCACTGCCTGCCCAGAAGCAATTCGATTTTTTATAATTTTTCCTTCCATTTTCTCATTTTCATATCTTTTATTCTAGGATCCTAATTAACTCGATTTCTTCAGCAAAGTTGTAGATCCTAATCTCAGCTATGTCCTGTTATTTTTTCTTAAATTTTTACTCCAACATAGACCAATTTATAGATGTCGGAAGTAGATACGTTCATCTTATCATTCTTGGAAAGAACTCTCGGATCAGCAGTTTCCGACCATGATTTTCAGCCAAGCCTCTTCACAAAATTTTTGGAGAATACTTCCTAGAAGAATATATCAAAATCTTAGGCCTTAACTTGTAAGAAATAGCTTGGATCTAAGGAAAAATTGTGAAAAGTTACCTTGCACATCTTCTCGGTTCTTGACGAAAAATGAAGCTCTGGTCACTCAAATCTTCTTCTTCCTTCCACGAAGAAGTCCTTGCACCTAGATCATAGTTAGAGATGACTTCCACGGTGGTCCAGTGAATTTTTTTGGCGATTCTTTCTTCCTCCTCTCTCTAGGTTCTCTCTAACTCTCCCTCTCTCATTTTTTTTTCTCTTTTGGAGGACTTTTGGTAGGGTTCCATTTGGATTCCTTTACTTGCTGTATGGGCTAAATTAGCTATTTGCCTGTCTGTTGAGTTTGACCCTTTTCTTCATTTAAGGGTTGTAGCAATCTTGATAGGCATGGTCTCGAGGCCTTCACATGCCATCGGCTTACGAAATCCACTATGTCTTTCTTCATCTCTAGCCACCAATAGCATCCTTTCACATCTTGACACATCTTTGTAGTTTCTAGATGAAATGTGTAAGATGTATCGTGGACTTCAATTATAACGTCTTTTAGGATTTTCTTGTCTCGAGGATCACCTAGGCAGTTTTGCTACTTTAAACCCCAGTCTGAAGAGATTGAATACCCTGCTGGCCTCTTTGTTTCTGTTTAATTCCATACTTTACCGAGGTGCAAGTCGAGCTTTTGGGCATCGACAACTCGTTTTCATACGGCAGGTTGCATGGTCATCTGTGCTATCAGAGCGGTACCACCTCTAGTTGCAACCTCGATTTTAGTATTCTTCATCTCATCTTGTAACTTCCCTTGCTGGGTGATCATTGCAGAAGTATGAACGGTCTTCCTGCTCTATGCATCAGCTACAATGTTGGCATTGTGATATAGAATCTCGATGTCTTTATCAATTCCAACCATTTTCATTGCCATATATTCCATTCCATCTGCATGACCAGGTACTTGTGGCTCTTTAGTCAGTGTATACTTGTACTTTTCTCCATGCTCGTAATGTTGCCATGTCTCCAAGGTTAATACGGCTGGTGCTAATTCAAGATCATGGGTGAGGTAATTTTGTTCGTGTTTCATCAGTTTCCTTGAAGTGTAAGCTATTACCTTACCCTTCTGCATAAGCACGCACCCTAATCCCTTACATGAGGCGTCTCTATACGCTACAATGTTGTCTGGCCCATCAGGTACTAGGAGAATTGATGCAGTCACCAACTTTGCTCAAGTTCCTGGAAACTCTGTTCGTCTGCTAATATCCAGTCAAAGGGCTTGCCCTCCTTGGTTAACTGTGTAGGCGCTGTAGAGATCTTGGAAATATCATGTACGAGTCTTCTGAAAATTTTCCAGAAACTTCGTAACTCAGTGGCTATGGTCAGTCTTGGCCACCTCATAACTGCCTCAAACGGTCAAAACTTACACTTGGAGAACTTAGCGTACAATTGATGTGTCCATAACACCATAAGAACTCGCCTCAGGTGTTCCTCGTCAACTAATTTTGTCTTGGTTTACACTAACATATCATTAAAGATGACTACAATGACAGTAACAAGAAGGTCTCATGAACATTTGGTTTGTCTAGACCTAAACCTCCATCGGGCGTCAATCAGGACGAAGGATTTAGCAATAATCTCAACTTCCTCATGATAGCTCCTGAAAGCAGTCATAGATATGTCACTCTGTTTGATCCTCATAGGAGGTATCTTGAACTTGTCAAGACCCTTACGGTCTTTACTGCATCTCCAAAAATAGCCATGTAATTCCATCTCATATGGCCAACACATGTCTTTCCTCACAGCGAGGCGCCCTGTCACGTAGCTCGTTTGAGTTCTAATACTCATATAAGCTAAGTACGGACTCTTTTGGGAGTAAAGGATCCTTGCATAAGTTTTCTACGTACACCTAGACTAGCTCCTGTAGTATCTTTTATGACTGAGTTAGTCACATCTCCTCTCGTAATGATATCTTATTACTGGCTTTTTCGAACACGTGAACCTTTCAAGTTCTTGTACAGGATCCTAAGGAACTCTTTGAAAACTCTTGTTTGGTAACTAGCCTCCCTCAACCTTTGAGGATACTTCCTCTATGTCCAATGTCTTCTCTAAGACATATCAAGTCTCTGCTAGTGTTACCTGTTTACAAGTCACCATCTCACTACCCCTCTAGTGGTCTTCAGCATCACGTTGTCTAGGAGTTCTACCTCTATTTGAGCATGCTTCACAAGTACAACATCACACTCCTGGGTGAAACTAGAGTTCTACCATTTGTAATCCACTTAACCTAAACAAGGGTTGGTTCTTACTAACGCCCATCTCGACTTTCTCCCTCCAAACTACAAAGGCATGACCATAGCTTGAGCTCTTTTTCCTGCTGTTCTCGACCTTGAGATCCACTGAACTACCTTGACAGTTCTACGTCCTTCACTTTGTGAACATGCATGCCCTGATCAAAAGATAGCTTAGAACGCGGTACATATGATCCTGATAACCACATGTTGCTACTGGACTTGGTCCTCTCCACCAACGTTCAAAGCGACTTGTTATCTATTAGGTGATCCATCAATTGGAATATCCTACACCCCGTATCTCATTAGTGACGTAAAGCGTACATCATGCTTTTGAAAGTCCATAGCTAGAATTTAGCTCGTGAAGACTCCAACCAAACCTCGAGGTTAGTAAATCTTATCTATCAACTTCCAACTTAACCAAACTCACTTATAATAATGGTTTGCTTGAGGGGTGCTTAATTCCTATAGTGGCCGTCCTTGTTTGTAAGAATAATATTGTCTGAGCCTACTATGCAGTTTGTACCGAAACATGCTCTATACTTTCTAGGCGTTCTACGTGGTCTCCACGAAGGCAAGCTTAACATCTAGAATTATGGTCACGGGAGGCTGGGTCCTAAGTAATTCATCTCATACTAAACCTTAGAAAGTCTCATGTATGTAAATCTTTGGATGTCTCTCACTATGCAACGTCACCTCTCTGTTTTTCTAGAAGAACATATCAAAATCTTAGGCCTTAACTCGTAAGAAGAAATGGCTCAGATGTGAGGAAAAATGGCGAACAGTTACCTTGCAGATCTTCTTGGTTCTTGACGAAAAATAAAGCTCCGTTCACTCAAATCTTCTTCTTCCTTCCAAGAAGAAGTCCTTGCACCTAGATCATAGCTAGGGATGACTTCCACGGCGGTCCGGTGAGTCTTCAGGCGGTTCTTTCTTCCTCCACTCTCTAGGTTCTCTCAACTCTTTCTCTCTCTCACTTTGTTTCTCTTTTGCAAGACTTTTATAGGGTTCCATTTGGACCTCTTTAGCGGCTGAAGGGGCAAAATTATCTATTTGCCCCTCGGTTGACTTTGACCCTTTTTCTTCATTTTTGTTTTCTTTTTTAATATTCGGGTGCTACATGGAGATTAGTGGAGATAAGTTTTGATGAAGTTTATATTTCCTTTTGCACAAATATTAATAAATTTATGCATTCACTTTATTGTGGCAGGGCTATGAAAGCAGCAACTATGATTCTTGATTTCACTTCAAAAGATAATGGGGCATCTCTCACGATTGAGGATGAAATATCTGCGGGAACGTTATTAAAAACTAGTGACATCTAAGAGGATTTGTAAGGACTTTACTATTTTTAAGAAATAAGATTGTCATTAAACGCATGTAATATTACTAAGTTCTATGAATTTAAATATTCACAAAGTCTATTTCAAATTCAAAGTAGCCATAATAGAATAGTACAGTTGAAAACAAGGAAAATAACCTCTCGTTACAAGAAATGTGATTTCCTTATTCTAACCTAAAGAAATTTATGCATGGAAGCATTACTTTACCTAAAAAAAAATAGTAAAGGTGGTGTGAGTATTTAAAAATATTAATAAGTTGTTCAATTGTTAAAGTGCAATCACATGCAATCATGGTTCGGAACCTATCTTTCTGTGACTGTTCTTTAGGCATTACTTTCTTTTTCAGGCAAGGTTGGATACATAGTACTTCTTTATGCACAATTCATGCAAGCGGGCATGTGGCCACTAGATGGGCTCATATATGTACCACATAGGCCTAATTACGGGTTAGCGCACAATCACGTTGTCGAAAACAAAATGATATAAAACATAAATACATTTTATTTACAAATCCAAAACAAAGTTTTAAGTTTGAACACATTGGTCTCAGTAAACAAAACAACTTGAAACATTAAATAGTTGAAAATTTGGTGTGACTTTGTATGACACTTACAGTAGGTCTGCTTCCATCTTCGACGAGCTCATTCTTGTTACTGGAAAAACGTGAGAGCTAGAATGAGTATAAGACTCAATAATTAGGCTCTTAATCATGTCCATGGTAGATGCTAGGGTACCATACTCCTTTCTTGTCATGTTCTTTTTCTTGAATTGAGAACTTAGGTTCTTAAGTTTTGTTCTTGAGTTTTTATTTCTTACCATGGTTCGGGTTCTGAGTTCTTAAACATGATTTTAATATAAGGACCTTGGTTCCGAAGATTGAAGTTCTGAGTTATAAGAATTTCTTGTCCTTAGTTCTTGATTCTTATCCTTAGTTCTTGTCCTTGTTCTTATTTCTTGTTTCCTAAGACATTCCCCCTAGGGTTTATTATACATGACTTGAACCTGACAACTTGTATGTCTAATGCTTCATGCTTTAAAGCAACACAATTTGAAAACCTGCTTCCAAAGTTTCATGTGTTCTAAGTGACGTAGTATGAACCTGCATACAGGACTTCATGCGTTCTCTACAATATAGTCTATAACTTATACCCAAGGCTTCTTACTTTCCAAGTGGTGTAGCCTAAAACCTATGTCAAATGCTTCTATTCCAAGTGATGCAATGTGAAAAGCTATGTCCAAGGCTTCATATGTTCCACACCACATAATTTAAATACTTAAGTTTTATGCGTTCATTCGTTCTAAGCGGCATAGTCT